GAGAGAGAGAGAGAGAGAGAGAGAGAGAGAGAGAGAGAGAGAGAGAGAGAGAGAGCATATATTATGTGCCACACCAGAACTAAGTTATGTTCAGATGTAAATATTTGAACTTTTTAAAAAGAATTTTTGGTCTGCTTCAGTGCAGTTGCACTAGTGTTGCAGTAGTGTCACAATATCATACAGTGCATACAGGCGGTTGTGTATAAAGCAGGAAGTGGTTTCGCAACTTGTGGTTTTATATCACACTCAGTCAGCAATATGCTCTACAGATTACTTTTGTGTGTGCGTCTCTGTGTGTGTGTTAATGATCAAACACCTGACCAATACTGAAATGACAGAAGGTACTTTTTTTTTTTTTTGCATTTACAAATAATTAGTTTCCTGAAATGAAGAAGTGCTCTGCTTCTTCTTTGTGGTTCTTTGAATTCTAATTCCCCCAATAATGTTAGTATGTTTTGTTTGTTCCCTGTGACGTGTGTGCAGCTGAAGAGGACCAGAGCGAGACGTCACAACAAACGGCAGCCAGCGATGAAGAGAGTGCGAGAGCCAAACAGGTACCGGCCTCCGACAAGTGTCCGTTGGTTCCTGCTTCCCATCAGTTACAGTTAATCCACGACCACAGACATGACTACGCCGGACGACCTATCTGTCGTGTTTTCGTTTCCCCTTTTCCGCCCGATTCAAGACGGTTTGCAAATTGTTTGAAGTGCTGATTGCGTACTTCATGGTTTTTCAAAGGGGCCCCGTTGTGAAACGAGTAACGAGGAATTTTGCTTCTGCTTCGCATTCTTGGAGGGAGGGGTGGTGATATAACAGAAAGAAAAAAAAAGGCAGTGTTTTATTGCGCATAAAGAAACTCACATTCACTCTTCTGGTAACTGAAGTGAGAGGTACAATATGAGAAGTGCAAATTAGCTCATCAGATTTCCAGGTTGGGCTGCTAGTTGAAAGCCGGGTGGTTTCTGCGGTGACTTCTGCCCTCCAGATAGCATCTCTCCTGAACGCCACTGCCACTCATTGTGAGAGTCAACATGTCAACACACTGACATCATCACCCACACAGTTTTCCAAAAACTAAAATTTCACTGCTGAGCATCAACTGAACGTTTCACAATGATATTCTCTCTCTCTTTTGAAAAAAAAAAAGAAAAAGAAATAAATCTAAGAGTTGGTGTCTACAGTGCGTATAGGACTTCCTGTGATGCACGAACTCGAAACTTTTGTGAATCAGATCGAAAAAACAGTGACTGAAAGTAAACGACTCAGACGAATTTCTAATCAGATTTCTGACGTGTCGTTTTCACATGCAGGTGCACAGAAAAGAAAAACAGTTTGAACATTCTTCACAGTTCTGGATCCACATGAAGGAATTGTTCGTTTAGACTATAAAGAAGCATCAACGGCGTCTAAGTGTGGAAAGACTTGTTTGAGAAGACGTCCTCTGGGAACGCCAGTTTGGCCCCTTAACTGTGACTCAGTCGAGGCTGTCTCAGAGCCGTGCACCTTCACTATTACTCACTCTAGAGGTTTGCTTCTCGGAACTAGAACCCACATAGAGGAACTTGATTCAATATGAAACCACCTCGCGCTGTTTTTGTTGTACGAGGGCCGCAGAAATATAAGAGCTTCTCGGTGTTATGATTCAGAGTAAAATATTGGCGTCCTCTGTGGTCTCCAATGACATCCAGTCTGTTGAAATTAATCAGGGAAATCTTTGTTTGCACTTCGGATAACTGAAAAAAAACCCTGAAATACTGTTTGTGCAAATAATTCACGTCATTTATAGATTTTTTTTCTCTCTCTTACTGTCTGACATGAAACATAACGTGTTTATGTGTCTGTTAGCAAAATATCTCATGAACCCCTGCATAGATTTCAATGAAACTTTCAGGAAAATACTGTTGGATCCACCTCTGCAACTGATTAATTGTTGGAGTCCATCAGATTCGCCACAACCAACTGAACTTTGCAAACACAAAAATAGCAATAACTTGGTCGCTTTTATAGATATAGACCTAATATTTGGTGCCGTGGCAGAAAGTCTTTCACAACACGAGTGCTTCTCATTTTGCAAGATCTTTTTTTCAAAACGTCAACAAAAACGATTAGTGTCATCTTTGTTTGTCTGTTAGCAAAATATCTCATGTACCACTAGACACATTTTAATGAATTTCCCAGGGAGTGATCATTTGATGTATGTCTACAATTAATTATAGTTTGGAGCCTACCCAATTCAAGATGGGCACCACTACTAATTAGCAAACACAAAAATGGCTTTGACTTCATTCATTTTACAGATATTAAATTAAACGTTTGTGTGGTAGCTGAGAGTCATTTGCAGCACTTTGAGCGTGGCATCTTGTGATTTCCCACGAGACCGTGCATGACTTTATTTTTAAGGTTTAATCAAAACGGTTAAAACTCGGTTGTAATTTTCTTGTAGAGGATGATAAGCATTTTGCAACTTTGCAACGCAACTCTTTGGACCTGTTTATCTGAAAATGTCTTGTTTCATTAACCGACTTGATCTTGAACTAAATCAATGGAAAGGTCAAAATCTTTCTGTGGAATCATCAAGTAAATGTACAGAATTTCTTTTTATTGATGCTGCAGATAAAATGCAAGTCAGTTATGTTTATTAAAAATAATACTTGGAAACAAAATAAGAAAAGCTGAGTGGTAATGTCAGAAGAGCACATGTGGTAGATGACAAGAAACAAAACTTTAAAGGGGAAGAAACAGAACAAGTTGTCTGCCAGACATGAAAAACACAATTTAAAATGTCTTCTTGTTTTTTTTTTTTTTTTTATTAGTTATGGTATAATGGTCCTTTTCTGTCAGAAAGTACAGTATTTTGTACTTCTTTAGAAATGGAAAAGCTGACCAGTAAAATGATCAGTCAATGTAAGCGAAATGTTTAATACAAGATATGTTTCTATCTTCCAATAAACTATTTTTTTATTTCAAAATAAACCCTTTTTGGACAGATCTTTAAAATACTACCTTCTACACGAGACTCTGTTCTTTATGGTCAGAAGTATCTGCATTATGACTGCATTGTGTTTAGTTTGGGATTTCTCAAATGAAATTCAACTATTTCTCTCAGACTTTGCCTTATTTAACTGATCAGCAAACCAGTCAGAGAATTAAGTTATAGTTGTTTTCATCAAATCTTTAAAATAATAACATTATGTACATTCTGCTAGCACTCAGAGTATGGGTTGTGGATGACTCTCAGCTACTACCACACCAACTTTTTCCCTCAATATTTATGAAACTGACTGAGTTATATTTATTTTAGTGTTGGCTAACTGCAACATCCATCTGCAGTCAGATTGCTTCTAAAGGTTTATCAGTTTTAGATGTGCATCAAACAATTACTTTTTAAGAGCTTTGTTCAAATCTGTCTGGCAGAGTGTGAGATATTTTGTTAACAAACAACTAGAACAAAGCTCTTGCGCAAACTGTTAGAGTTGGGGGTGACTTTCAGCAACAGCAACACCAGATTTGAGATAAATATTTGACTCATGAACACAGTTATGTTTTATTATTGTGCTTTTTAAATAAGCTGGCGTTCAATAAAACCCATTCCCTGAATCATGACAAATTTTGCTAACAGACAGACAAAACATTATCCCTCGCCTTTTGCTTTAAAAAAAGTCAACATGCTCTGCAGCAATGTAAAGTATAATAATGGGTTTGGGGAATAAACTATCATGCTGTATATAAATGTGCAAAGTGGCAAGTTTAGATTTTTTTCTAAAGTTATTTTAGGCTTGTCTTAGTGTGCCAAGGCTGAAGTATTGAAACTATATAAACTTTGACATACTGTTGGTGTTTAATACTTCCTCTTTTTTTAAAATAACCCAAAATTCCTCTCCTTGTTGCCTAATATTAGGCCCTGCAGTTAATATTGTTTAAAGTCTTATTCCTTTGGCATAAAGCTTGTTTTTTAAAGTGACAATCATGTCACCGTTGACTGACAACTCTAGACCAAAAACCCCACAAGTCTGCAGCTTTCTCTCCAGACAGGATGTGTAGCGGTTATCTATTGAAACTAGCGGTAAAACCCTACTCTCTGATTTTCATGTTTCATTTCAGCCTTTCTGTTTTTGAGATGACTCTTGAGTCTTCTTTCCCATCCGTAATATCATGCGTTCAACTGTAAATCAGGTTTCCATACAGTGCAGTCAAATGTGTCTTCCTTTTTAAAGTAATTACAAAAGAGCCGCCCGTTTTATTTATTTATTTATTTTACTTCCAAACACCAGGCTTCTTCCTGTGTTGTTGAAATTCACGACTTGACGACTGAGCGTGGGAAAGAAGCGGGGCCCGATCAGGTGCAGATGGAGGAGAAAACCTTTGTATCTTGTTTGCACACTTTCATGAAGGATAAAGGCTCACCCATAGAAAGGATCCCACATCTAGGCTTCAAACAGAGTGAGTTACATTAGCACTGTTTGCTCGTTGAAGTATCTGCAAAGAGTTGAAAATAATGTGATCTTGTTTTTCTTCTTTGCACTTTCAGTTGACCTTTGGATGATCTACAAAGTTGTCGAAAAACTCGGGGGATATGAATCAGTAAGTTTTGTGTTTTTATCTCGAGGCTTCGGCGTTCACTTTTGGAAAACAGGCAGTAGGTCTTACAGAAGTTTCTGCCACACTGTTGGGCAACAAGTGCTGCTGAGCTCTCAGGGCATCACACTTTGTTGCCTTTGAAGTCACCCAGTTACTGAATAGGTTCTGAAAGTGAAACTTGTACTTATGTGGAGCCAGACTGAGGCTAGAGTTGACTACCAACAATATGTCCCCAGGGGTGTAAAAAACACAACAACAGATGACAACCCACGTCTTTACAAGCTTCAAAATGAAAGCATTGTTTCGGTAAAAAATAACTGTGTGCTGAAAGCAAGCATCAAGGTCAACCAAATAAATAAATAAATCAAATAAAAATCTGCAGAGCATTAAACCCTTGCACATTTAACCTGATATCCAAACAAATCTGAAGACTCAAATTTCATTTGTCCGTGCAGAATATGCCTACTTGTAAGAAATGATCACATCATCTGATAACCAGCAGATAACAACTCATCTTTCTAATCAGCTCATTGACTCGCCTGCTTGTTACAAAAACATAATGTCTTAAATTGTGATTCCATAGATTACATCTGCCCTTAAGAAATTATTGGGATATTTGTAAAGATTTGATACTTGAGGCATCAAAATGATCGAGGGTTGGGGATGAGCCTTTGCCTTAAGCAGAGAAGTTCAAGGTTTTGGCTGTTTTGTTTATGAGTGATGGGCCAATGGAGCGGGAGAATTATTTTATTTACTGTTATTTAACCTGGAAAGTCCCATTGAGATTGCAGATTTCTTTAGCAAAGGGTGGACTGGACAGAGAAACCTATTGTACATATTTCTGGTCTGTTGGGGAAACCGTAGTACCCAGAAAAACCCATGCAAGCATGAGGAGAACATGCAAACTCTGAATAGAGAGATCTGAACCAGGGATCGAACCCAGGACCTTTCTGCTGTGAGGCATCATTGCTAACCACTGAGCCACTGTGCTGCCGGATGGATTTGTTTGCAGTAATGAGCCCACTGCTCCGGTCCGCCGTGGTGAGGAATGAGCTAAATCAAAAGGCAAACCTCTTGATTTGTTTATCTGTCATTCCAACACTTACCTACTACGGCCATGAGGTTTGAATCATGACCAAAAAAAACACCAACAAGATCCCAGATACAAGCAGCTGAAATGAGCTTCTTTTGCAAAGTTGGCCAGGCTCAACCTCAGAATAAGAAGAAGCTCAGTCATACAGGCTGAGCTCGGCGTAGAGCCGCTCTTCCTCCGCACTGTATAATTTGATTGGGATGTCTCCTGGGTGTCGCCCTCTGAGAGTTGATGAATAATAAGACAGCATTACAAGATTCAAAACACCATCTCTTTAACAAGGTTTCAACACAACTTCTCAAAGTCTTCTTTGTCCAAACCAACAGGTGACAACTCGACGTCTTTGGAAGAAAGTCTACGATGAGCTAGGAGGGAGCCCAGGCAGCACAAGCGCTGCCACTTGCACTCGAAGACACTACGAGAGGTGAGAGCGACACGGTTTGTCGAAATATTTCAACAGATTACCTGACTGTGAGGCTAAAAACTGGCTGATTTTGTGACAGGCTGGTGCTTCCCTTTGAGCGCCACTTGAAAGGCGAGGACGACAAACCTCTGCCTCTGAGCAAACCGAGGAAGCCGTACAAAAGAAGTATGGAGAGCAAGATCAACAAGGCTGATGGGAAGAGGAAGATGACTCATTCAGAGAGGGAACTGGACTCAGAGGTATCAATTTGTACATCTGGTGAAATTCCAATCGAAGACAAAAAAGATAGTTTTGTCGTTTAAAGTGACGAAACATTCCTTCTTGCAGTTACTCGCCCAAAGAAGTCCAGATACGGCCCGTACAAGCGAAGCAATGATGCATTCTCACTTCGCTCTCTGGGGAACCAACTCTGACAGACGTCACAAGGACCACTCTAAACAAAACAGAACCACCGGCGATTTCTGCACATCTGTCAGCGATCGCATTCTGCAGGGACCAGAATTCAGCACCTGGGGGGCTCACCTCCCCTATGTAACTGGAGAGGTCATCTCTCCATTGGAGAAAAAGAAGCGCATGGCTCAGGCGTCGCTGAGTTCCCAAAGAGAGGACAAAAAAAGACCCTCTGTTATTCAGTGCTCCCTATCTCCAGTCCGTCTCTCTCCCAGCAGGCAAGGCAATTCCTCGGATGGCTCACCGCTGCCGTTATCGTCCTCGTCTTCCCGCAGTTCTTCCCCTCTTTCAGTCTCCTCAGAAGACACTCCAGCAGGAAGTGTGACTGAACCTGCACCAAGCTCAGCATCGCCAGAGAACTCTTCCAGCACCACCAAAGTAAATAAGGACAAGAAGTCTGTAAGCTGCGATCAAACAGCTACGAACCCTGCAGGCCAGGCTAAGGATGTTTCTCAAGGCAGCGCCCAGTCGCTGTACGCTGACTCAGTAAAAACTCAGTTGAAAGAATCCGCCTGGAAGCTTTATCCCAAAGTGGCTGGCAAACATTTCATGTCAATCCCCACATCCTTCGCACCTTCTTCCTCTAGCTTCTCCAAAGTTATTCCAAAATCTGGGCAGCTCCTGAGGCCCGCTCCCATCCACCCGAGTCCAAAAATTCTCACTGGCAGGCCGCTGCAGCAGAGCACCTCCCTGACGTGCGCAAAGAAGGCCGGCAGCGTGATCCCGTGGCAATATCTGACGGAGAAGAGGGACAGATCCAGGACAATGGCACCAAAAATCCCTCCCACACAGCAGAGTCTGTCTCAGTCCAACTCCGCCCCCGCCCTGCCGGCATCGTGTGTCCTAACGAGCTACGACAAATCAGGGAGAGACTCTCGACACCAGCACCTGGTCCACCCGGCGTTTCTCCCCCACAGAATGAGACTCCCTCAGTCACAGCTAATGTATCCCCACATACCAGTGGGTCCGAGTCAGTCCACTGTCATTGGGCCAGCTTTTTACCCATATCACTACCCCTTTCACATGTTAAACCCACAAGTTGGATATTCCCTACCTGCCATGAATCCCATTTATCCTCACAAGCTGTGAATCTTTGTATATCAACTCCAAACTTGAGAAAACTTTTTTTTATGAATTATCAAACATTTTTATTAGGGCTTCAGACTATTTTGAGGAAAAATGAAGTATAATGTTTAGGTATATTTATAGGATCAATGTAAAACATTGAGTCATCTAGATGTTTACTGTAAGTAACATTCATCTAGCGGCTACACTAGTGCAGACAAGAAGTCATAGTTAAAAGTATAATTGTTCCCATTTGATGTTGTAAACACATTCAGATAAAAATTAAATATATTTCTTTTTTGTCAAATCAGCTATACCTCATTTAATGGTTTGCTTCTGGAAAAAAACTACTTGTTTTTAAGGTACTGTACTGTAAAGTCTATTATAAAATGTAGCTACTGTTTGTTCCAATTTCAGTGTTAAATATTCCTTTTTGTACAGTGTGTAAATATTAGTGTTGCTCATTTAAAGGGAAAGAACAAAGGAACAAATAAACATAAAATATAAAAACTCTTTGTAGCATTTTTCTCCCTCTTACATTCAGAAATATGGCAAAAGAACAATGAGGCGGAGACGATGCATCAGTTACCTAAAGAAATAGTCTGGTCATTTTTGAAGAGATGTTCTGTCAAATATCAGAGTGTGAAAGAATGCTACATTATCGAAATTCAAACCTCTACACACTTTCCGCGTGACACCGCTTTATTAGTTTGCTGCTGTTCTCAACAGAATGCTATGCTACTTTAGCTCCAACATCTGTTGTTTTGTGCTCTTAAGGTCCGGCCTGGCCTTATTCCACCCTAGCCCTGGTTGTGTTTGCTTTGAGCAGAGTGTCACCTTAATGTGGGCGGGGATCATCGTATCAAAAACCTGCACATCTTTCTGTGACGCCATTTTTTTGTGACACAAAGATGGACAACATCGAGCTTGTGTTACTTCTCTTCGTTCTCTACATAATTCAAGAACAGCTGAAAGAAAGCCAGACGACAACAAGTTGAAACAACAGTTGCATGGTGTGATGTAATACTGACGTAAAATTAACTAATGTAATGTGTTTTTTGTTTTGTTTTTAACCAGTAAATGGCATTTTTTTAAAGAAATAGCTGCTTTATTAGTCTGAAAATTACATAAAACGGGTCCTTGACTAGCAATTAGCCTAGCATGTAGCTTCTGCCCTTTTCTCATCTTTGTGCTCCAACAGTGATGTCATGTCTGTAAGGTTTAACTATTTGACCAAATGTGACTTAATTAAATGACCAGATTATTCTTAGAGCAAAACTGTTAAGACACACATCTCCTTTTAATAAGCTCTTGTACTTCACTTACATTCTTTTAATCTGTAGGGGTCACTTCGAGTGAAGAAACAAGATTTTCTGCTTCTAAGCAGGCCTCGGACAGGCCTGACGAGAGGACAGGAACTCTGTCACAAACTAAACTCTATTTAGGCCATGACAGGTCATTCTAACCGTGGAAGAGAACCCCTCAGTTCTCTTAATCAGATAATGGACAGAACAATCTCATCTGTTCGTGATTCATTTGTTGTTCAACTAAGAATGTTTATGCATTTGTTAAATCATGATAATGCCTGTCACAGGAAAAGTGGAACAACTTCTTTTCTTTTATCGTGCCTTAAAGATTTATTACGGTATTAAAAAATCACAGAGAATCTCATTACAATGTTTTCATTGTGTTTTTATGTAAATCACTGTTTTTATTTTACTGTAAACACAGTAATATAATTGTGGATTTTTCCTGAGAAAATCTTTCATTTATCTGGACCAACAGAAGGTTCAGAACTGATTATAAAACAGAAATGTTAATTAATCATCATAAATGTTTTGCAGTGATTTCTCTTAGTCTATCAGAAGAAAGCTGAAAAGAGGTTATCATATCATGTTGTTGAACAACCACAAAATTTTAACCGTGGGCTGGCACCGGCTGGCAAATCTTTATCTTTCTTTCTCTGACTCATCTCTAAGACTGAGGGCGGAACCAAAGTTCGTCCGTTTCTTTTACTAACCCTGATGGCTTTGAGCGACACAATCTTCTTCCTGATTCCAACCTAGGAAGACAGCTGGGATTCTCTCCGGAGAAACCTCAGTTTGGCTTAAAGTCTGATCCCATGAGCTAATTAGGAAAACTTCACAGCCAGGGACCCGGCACGCCTGCCGGTGGTCTCAACCCGAGGCCGGGCCTCTGAGTGTGTTTTTAACTCCCGAGGGGAGATTTTATTTTGGAAGGAGGAACCGGATATGGCTTGAATTTTTCTGGCTTGGACTGAAACGGACGAAAGTTACCTGGAAAAACACCTGTTCGCCAATGACCGGTAATTGAGCCGACATCAGTTCCCTGACTGATCGGAGGCGAGCCAGCTCCTACCCCGAGGGTRCCTTAAGAAGTCATCATCAGGTAAAAGCTGATGTGTTCAGAGTGTCGTGTCATGTGAAACCTGAGCTTAGAAAAGACGTGCAGTTCCGGTTGACCCACACTTTGATAAAAGCAAAAGTCGTAGTAACACACTAATCTTACTTTCTTCCTTTCCTTGTTCTTAATTTGCCAAAACTTCAGCTAAAAGTGCCAGTAAAATTGTTTGGTTGTTAACATCAGAACTGACGTTTTACTGTTCTATATAAGTAATCTGAGTTGATGTGAACTGAAATTCGGACGCGGATTTTTATCTCATTTAACTCTGACGCTTGTTATAGGAATGACCACAATCAAGTATAACTTATGATCTGTTCAGTTTGTGTAAAAAATGATTGCATAGCCTTTTATGAATCAACTTGAACTCATCTGAACGAGTTCACTTTTCACTTCGCACAGTCAAGATATTAACATGAGAAATACCTTGGTAAAACTTTCCTCATAACCTTGTGTATGAGAGATGTGGGAAAAGCTTAATTCACCTTAAGCTCACTCTTACAAATCTTTGGGTAAAAACTATTGCTTTGCATCATTTGTGTGTGTCGATCTGCTTTACAAATTATCAGCTTCAGGGCTTCACCTCTGCAGGTTTGATGTAGCACAGAGCTCAGAGGATGCTGTTGTACAAGATGCTGAATTTGCCATACGAAAGATGGGGGGCTAAAATGAAAATAACTAAGAAGTTTGAGGCAAGCGTAGTGAGGAGGAAATAGAAAGGGGAAATCACACAAATGAGTTTATGCTGCAAGCCACAGTGTGGTCTGGAACAGCTGGAACAAGCCAAGCAGATGATGCACGTAATTTTAAACAGCGTAATTCTGACAGAGAAGAGATACAACTCGCTGTAACAGGGCATGTGTGTGTGTGTGTGTGTGTGTGTGTGTGTGTGTGTGTGTGTGTGTGTG